TCTCTAAGCAGCTTTCTCAATGTCTGAGGTGATGGAAATTGATGAGCCCAAAATCGACTGGGTCAGACCTAATAAATCAAGTAAGCCCAAGTCAGTTAAAAAGCAGCCCAGACCCACTTATCCAATCCGACCCAGTCCAAGACCCAGGAAGCCCGAGAAGATAAAAGCACGTGGTGGAGAGATTATCGGGATACACATTCATAGAGACCGAATCCTACCTTAATTGTACTTACCAAAGAAGTAGTGTCCCTCTCACTCACGTCACCACCTCAACAAACCTATATATTGTAAGATCTCTCCACATGGAGAGACACCTCAACATACCTTGATACCAACACAACTTAAGACCTCTACACCTTGGCACACTTCAAGTTTCTCTCTCCTAAAACATTGTAATTCCCTAGGGGCATATTCACCCGGTTACTTTGTTCATCAGTAAACACCTCCGGCCACCGCTGTTGTTTCTTAAGAGTGGAGTAGGTCATCCGGACCAAACCACTATATATCTGTGTGTTGACTCCATATTTACTGTTTTGCTATTGATTATCTTATTTATTGCTCATTAATTGTATCTCTTCATATACTCGATTGTTAATTTTACACAATACTAATTTGTGCATCATCAGTTTGACACCGTCTGTGGGAAACAATGAAGTAAATGATTGTTAATCTTGCACGATACCAACAACTAGGAGGCAACAACCCGGCCCATCGGGAGAAGGCTCCGCCTCCCCTCGCACCATCGGAACCATCTGCTACGACGACTTCCGTCGTCGGACAATAGCTCCTACAGACCATGCAGCTATTGATAAATCAAAACTAGCAAATCATACAGTTGATGCTTACCCAAGGAGGCGTCTCCCCTCACCCCGTGGGAGGAGCCCCACTCCCTCCAATGGGAGAGGAACAATAGCCTATCCCCTCTAGGCACCAAGCAGCCCCCCACCATGAGGCCCCTCGCCAAAATGTCCTAGGGCCCCACCAAAGTGCCCCCTCACCCAGCAGTCCCTCCTTAGCGAATAGCAAGTTCACGTGTTTTCCCTCCTCATGTACCTGTGCAGGAGAACGAAGGAGAAAGCCAGTATGGTGATCATGGAAGCCAGTACAACCACCCAACAGAGGACGTCCCCAACCAGTGGGACGAAAAGATCAAAGAGGTGCAAAACCAACTTGGTGATGCCCTCAACGTCATCAAGGCACAGCCACCCGAAACGGTGAATTACCTGGTAAGGCGCACTGATACGTTGTTTGTAGCAGATGTTGTCAACTACCCTTTACCCTCAAAGTTCTATATGCCCACTATTAAGATCTTTGATGGCACCAAAGACCCCCTTGACCATTTTGCCACATAAAAATATCTCATGCAACTCTATAACATGCCTGATGAGATTATGTGTAGAGTCTTCCTTATCACCCTCAAGGGATTCGCACGCCAATGGTTCTCAAAGATTAAACTCTCCTCTATCCACTCCTTCGCAAAGTTAAGCAGATCTTTCGTCTCCCACTTTATTGGGGGATGCCGACATTAGAAGCCTATGACTCACCTACTCACTATCAAGCAGGATCAGGATGAAAACTTGAGAAACTACCTCATTTGTTTTAACGAGGAGGCTCTCCAGATCGAGGAGCCAGATGACAAAGTGACCATGATTGCCTTTATCGCAGGTCTGTGCTCCTCTAGCTTCATGTTCTCTATCTTGGAAAAACCACCATTCAGCATACTTGAGTTACTGTCAAGGGCGCAAAAGCACATAAACACTGAGGATGTCACCAAGGCCAGACGAGGTGAGTCATCCCATGGGGGCGAGAAGAGGAAGGACACCCGTGAGGATAGACGGGAAGAAAAGAACAAAAGGAATAGGACAGAGAGAATCTTTGCCAAGGACTGCCTTGGTCCCCCACCTTTGAGAAAGCGACAAGCCTTCACACCGCTCAATACTTTCGTGGAGCATATCTTGTTCCAAATATAGGATGATCCTATAGTACGTTAGCCAGAGAAGATAAAGACTGCCCCGAATCGTAGGAGCCCGAACAAGTATTGCTATTTCTATCATGACCACGACCATGATACTGACTACTGCTTTGATCTTAAAAGATAAATCGAGGAGCTCATACAATGTGGCCAGTTGAGACAGTACGTTGTTAGCAGAAGACAAGCCCCACCACCTAGTCAGGACCAAGATGACAGAGAACGCCAGCAACCCCTCGGAGAAATCCAGGCAATATCCTGAGGGCTACGAGGAGAAGGCAACTCCAACTTCGCCAAAAAAGTCTTAACCCACCTATAGGACACCGAACACCTGAAGAGCTATATCAAGTACAAGCTAGTGGCTCTCATTTTCTCTGTCATTTATTCTTTCAATAGATTTATTTTGTTATTTATTATTTTATGAAATAAAACTCTGCGAAAATTATTGTGCAAAATTGTCTTACTTTAATAAAGTTTGTAGACAGCTTATAAAAGTCAAAACATGACCTAACAACAAGGTAGATAAAATGACAAAAGTCGTCATACTCTCTCAATGAGATCAATAGCAGGGAAGCAATGACTCTCTCAGTAACCTCTCTCCTCATCTCTATCTCAATAGAATGAGTCTCTGTCATGGCAACCATCTCCCGAGACTATACTTAGCTCGATCTCAGCTCTTATGTCCCTCTCGTAGGATGCCAAAAAAGCTCGATTTCAGGAGGCATGACTCTCTCATAAGCAAGTTTCAACTGCTCTTCAGCAGTCTCTCGAAACCCGCCTCTCTTTCGCCTGATCCTTAGATGCCTCTCAAAGTTTAATCATTATTGAAAAGAGGCAGGGAAAGGCAACAATCATGTACAAGAATCCAAAAAGAAGAATATGAAGAAAAAGAGAATCCCTCTATCACGGTATTGATAATGCCCTGATATCCCCGGGAGTCACAGGCCTTCCAAGTCGCTCCTTGACCAAGGTCACATCGAAGCATGGACACTGAGCCACTATTAGAAACAGGACATTTATGTAGAGCTACAGTCCCTGTAGAAGATCGCACTGAAGTCATAACCCCTACAACGGTACAAGGGCTAGCTCTAGTACACACAGTAATCACAGTCTGGAAAGGAATAGGGGCACCAAACCTCGGATCTTGACCGAGAAGCACTAGGGGCATCAAACCTCGCCCTCTTGGGATGAGGGAAAGACACCACTCTAAAAGCTCAGAGAGTCTCCACCATCGCCCTATCAACAATACGCTTGTAATTAGAGACAATGTCCCTACTGGCCTATTGGACACCTGGCGCCTTNGTCTCCACCATCGCCCTATCAACAATACGCCTGTAATTAGAGACAATGTCCCTACTGGCCTATTGGACACTTGGCGCCTCCCTACCGGCCTACTGGACACCTCCCTACCAGCCTACTGGGCGCCGCCTCCCTGTTGGCCTACCGACCTACTAGATGCCTCCTTGTCAGGTGCCTCCCTACCGGCCTACTGAGCACTGCCTCCCTCTTGGCCTACTAGCCTAATGGGCGTCGTCTTCCTATTGGCCTACCGGCCTACTGGACGCCTCCTTGTCGGGCACCTCCCTACCGACCTATTGAGCGCTGCCTCCCTGCTGGGCACCTCCCTACTGGCCTACTGGGCTGCCTCCCTCTTGGCCTACTAGATGCCTCTCTGCTGGGCACCTCCCTACTAGGTGCTTCCTACTCAGCGCCTTCCCCTTGGGCATCCCACCAAAGCCTTGGGGGCGCCTCAGCAGCCTATCTCTCTCCCACATGGGCGCTGTCCGCTCTCTCTCCCATGGGCGTCGCCCCTTCTCCTCTCCATTAGGGAATTTTCTCTTGGCACACCGTCTATTAAAGTTCTCTCAGCCAAATCCTTCGCAGCTAATCTAGTGTCACCCTTGAAAACTAATCTGGCGTCACTTAGAGCCAGCGCCCCAGCGCCTTGGGCGCCGCCTGCCTCATGGGAGCCGTCTAACTCTCTATCTCTCCCTCTTAGTAAGGATGTAAGGAGTATTTCTAAGCTCTAGTTCCAAAAGAGGTGAGTTGGGGAAGATAGGGATGCTCTTTAAAATCTAAAAGTTGGCACCCAAAAATAGAAAGAGGGATCCAAGTTTAGTGAACACCAGGCACAAAAGAAATGGTTAATACAATGGGTGCCCAACCATGGAGCTATCAAAAGAACAGAAAAATTTTCCAAGTACAAGAGCAAGAAGCTAACACCGTGGAGAACAAGAAACTAAGAGCTCACTCATGCCCTCAAACCTTTTCTCTCGCAAGCAATTGGGGCTTGGGGCATGGAGGGCAAATGATGAGCCCAAAATCGACTGGGCCAGGCCCAATAAATCAAGTAATCCCAAGTCAGCTAAAAGGCAACCTAGACTCACTTATCCAATTCAACCCAGTCCAAGATTCAGGGAGCCCGGGAAGATAAAAGCACATGGTGGAGAGACTGTCGAGATACACATTCATGGAGACCGAAGCCTACCTTAATTGTACTTACCAAAGAAGTAGTGTCCCTCTCACTCACGTCACCGCCTCACCAAACCTATATATTGTAAGCTCTCTCCACATGGAGAGACACCTCAACATACCTTGATATCAACACACCTTGAGACCTCTACATCTTGGCATATCTCTACACCTCTCTACACTTCAATTTTCTTTCTCCTAAAGCATTGTAATTCTCTCGAGGCACATTCTCCCGGTTACTTTATTTATCAATAAACACCTCCGGCCATCGCCGCCCCCGAGAGTGGAATAGGTCACCAGAACCGAACCACTATATATCTGTGTGTTTACTCCATATCTACTATTTTACCATTTATTATCTTATTTATTGCTCATTAATTGTATCTCTTCATATACTTGAATATTAATCTTGCACGATACCAATTTGTGCATCGTCAAAAATTTCATTCTCATAATCAGAATAAGGTCCTTCATATGGACAACTTTGTTAAACTCAGGCTATTGGTCCTCCTCAGCTGATGCCCACTTAGATTGCACAACCCTTCATATATTTTGGTTCTTAGTGCCAATTTTTCTCCCCTTTTGGCCCAACATCATGTCTCCCACCTGTTCCTATATCCTTTTGATGCCCTTTTGCCCCCACATCATTTGTAATACCTTGTTTGCCACCATAGAAAATGTCATCATCATCACCCTCTAGGTCTTCATAAAGCCAACTAGGGTAATCACTGATCTTATCACTATCGTGTGATGTAATGGATCCACCTCTAAGTATATAGTCAGAGTCATCAAATACATCAGATGCATCACCATCTCCCACATTATCTTCTCCCTGACCCACATCACCTTCCCCCACAATACATTCCTCCACATAAATCACAACTACTGACAAACCCTTATGTGCAAGCAATAACTAAATAATGTTATGAACACCAAGTGGTTTTTCAAGCCCATGTTCAAAGAGTAACCAGGTATCATAACGTATACATCCACATTAGTGTCATTTCCTGCAACCTTCTCATACATATCCATAATTTCAAGCTAAGAGAACTTATTTGGGTTGCATTTCTCTATGTATTGCACCTTACCACCTTTATACATAACATGTGGTTGTCAATAAAGTGACCCCCATAATGCAGTTGGACTATAAAAAATTCATTCATCCTGCATTCACATCATCAAATAGCATGAATAAGAAAATGCATGAGGCACCACACGCAAACACTAAACTACAAAATTCCAAAACATAAAAATACCAAATGAGACCACTGTAAAGTCTTGTTTGCCACTAACATTCACCAGGGAACAACTCGTATCAAGACTATAAACTAACCCTCACAAAAAATGATGAGACACTTACAGTAAACTACAAAATTCCAAAACATTAAAAAAACCAAATGGGACCAACATCAAATTGTTGTGTTGTACAAACATTCACCAAGGAACAACCCATAAACTAACCCCCCCAAAAAAACCCATATGATGGGTCCACTTACCCACCCAATAGAATAATCAAACCCAACATGACCTAAAACATATAAAATCACAACAAAAATTGCTAACAACTTGAAATATGTCATCACCCAGTTAACAAACTTACTTGCAATCATCAAAAGAAGAACTCTATGTGAAAAAAAATTGGTGCAAAAAGTGCCTTAGGCTGCAACTTTGTCAGACTAACTCACTATTTCGCAATCATAGCAAATGGTTTCTTTAAATTCAAAGCTTTTCCACATGTTCATTCACTATATGATTCAAAAAAAAAAAAAATGATATGTCAACCAGAGTGACTAGCTCCACTCCATTAGGGCACATATGAATATGGGTGCATTATTAACATTTGTTCTTCACCGTTAACACCGTATATATTGCAGTTTAGTCCAGTAAATATGTGAGAGTTATGTGCAAATTTCTAAAATGCAAAGAGGTAAAGTGCATTTGGGATATACCACATAGGGGTAAAGTGAACTTTACCCTTTTTTTATTTACTGTATTGTGCTTCAACTCAACAAACAATATTTAAGGCATAAAAAATGCCATTGTTTCATTAGAATTTTTTTGACTTTCAAATGTCATCCCTTCAATATCACTTCATTAACAAACTTGTACAAATTTCAACGTCTTGCTTCATAATTGACATATTCATTTTTTTTTGGTTGCCACTTCAGTATTTTTTTTTACATACCTACCTAATTTTTCTTCTTCTTGAAGCCTATTTTGAGAACATTCGACTCTAAGGTGTAACGTCCCAAATTTTTACAAAATACGAGTTATAATTTTGAGGAATATTAGAATTTTAATGTCGTCAATATGATTTATTTTTTAGAGATTTTACATACATAAATGAATCCCTTGTGGTGTTTGTGTGTGTGAATATAGAGGTGACACGTGGCAAAAATGCCAAAACAATGGGAGAATATGGTGGTGACACGTGATAAGGATGACAAAACAATGAAAGAATCTGGAGGTAACATGTGTCAAGCACGACAAAGTCTTAGACGGGTGTGTGTGTGTGACAAGTGTTTAGACATTTGTCATGTTGCATGTTAGGTGGCATGCATGCACGACAAGCGTCAAGCAAGGAAAGAGCAATGCATGCAAGGTGCCACCACCTCCTTGCCTTTGCCTATAAATTTAGCTCCATCCATTTGTAAAATTGTAGGAACAAAGTAGAAAAAGAAGGTAGAAGAAAGGAACGAGAGAATGAGGGAATCGTGAAAAAAAGATGGAGATAGAGAAAAAGGATAAACTAAGAAAAAAAAAAGAAAATAGGAAAGAGGAGAGAGAAAGAAATTCGTAAAAAAATCAATAGTAAAACGAACTTCGATCAAGCTAAAATTTTAGTATGTTGTTATTGAGGCTATGATAACAATATCTATCAGAGTCAATTAATGATTTGATGTATGGGGGTAGTATACAATATGCTTCTATCTTTCAATCTCTTTGCAAATAGTGTTTTATTGATTATCTCCAAATTTGTGATCCTATTCGTTATATGTTGATCATTAAAATTGCAAGTTTTGTTGAGATAGCCAGTGTTTTGACCTAATAATTTTGTGATTGATTGGTATATGTAAGAAGTACACTTATGGCATATTTTGAAAAACGTGATTGCAGCCTTACGAGGTGTGATTGTGGTCTTGCGGCATGCAAATAATTGGTATGAGTTTGGATTTATGCCCAAGTTTTACTCGTTATGTCACCAGGATAAATCGAGTATGAGGTTATGTATGTTGAATAGTTGAATCATGTGATATGTTGTATTTGATTCATGATTCCATAATTGTCTATTTATTGAGTTATTTGGCATTCAATCATGGGTATTTTTACCATTGACCATATTATTTTCTGTCGTATTGTATACTTCCCCACTTAATTAATTTTTCAGGAAGATTATGGAGCATAAATCGTGATTGGAATATTGGAGGAGCTGGAGATTCTAATTTTTATAATATTTAAATTGTGATCTCTATTTGTATTTGGAGATTCGATTCTCAATTTAATTATTATTGAACTAATTAGAGCTCTTCTATTTGTATTTGGAGATATATTTTGTAGAATCTACGAACCGATTAACGCATCCGAAAACCGGGGCATTATTTAAGGAGTTAGATGAGAGAAGACAACTACAATCTAGTAAACAAAAATATCTAATCGAGCCGCCCCTTGCATGGAAAGAGTCACATGTGGCCAACAACTTTTCCAAAATAAGGGGAGATATGTTGTTTACTACTCACGGAAATATTTGACCTATACTGTAGTAAACTCATTTGCGTATCTTTCTGATTTTCCTTTCTTCCATTCATTTAGATAAATAAAAGTACAGCGACGAGCAATGACACAATATGCACGTCGTGGTAAAAAAATATGAGTATATTTATTTCTAAACAAACTAGTTATAGTAAGACCTTCGGAAAGACGTAAGGAGTACGAGTTTTCAAGTCTATTAAACTTACCGAAGCTAGTTGGGATCGAGAGCTTTTATATCATGCGGCTCTTGGATCGAAAAGAGGCTGTCACACAAAGTTTTAAACTGTCAGACACAATTTTGTTCGAAAAAATGGGATAATATTATACGTTGTTAAGATTGGAAACTCTTCCACCCAATAAGCTGGTTCAACTATTTGGTCAAATAGTACTCCTTACTTTGAAAAGATTTTGTCTTCTTGAGGTCAAGGGTTCAAGTACTCCTACCCCTCCCTTTCTTTTTCTACCTTCAAAAAAAATGTTTAAAAAAGAAAAGAAAAAAAAAACTGGTTCAACTCTTAGCCTTTTAATTAATCCCTTCAGAAATCAAGAAAATAAGATCATTGAGGCCAAAATCGACCTTTTTTCAAAACACAGTTTCACCTCCAAAAAATCACCTCTCCTGTTGGGGGAATGCATGAGATATTTACCTAAACCCTTGTCATTGTAACTGAGGATGATTTTTGAGGTTATTAGCAGTTTGATGAATTTTAAAATATCTTATAATGAATTTTGCCTCATATTAGAATTTTTCATTGTTATTTTGTTGTCCTTTTTTTTTTTTTTTTTTGGTCAAGTTACTTTGTTGTCCTTTAATGACCCTTTGTTTCTGTCACTGTGGTGTTTTTGTGATTGTTGCTTTATTGTAACACTTGTAACTATGGCTTCAATGCAAAACTATCATGTATATGATAATGATTTGTGTGGATGTCCGTTTTTTTATGGATTGTGCATTTATTTTACAAAATGACTTGTTAGCCTGTCAATGTGAATATTGGTTTGTCGCTGTGAATTTCCTGAAATGCTATTTGTTGGACAATATGCTCATGTCACCATTACTTTGTCAATTCTTATATTTTGAATCAAAATTGCTTTTGAATAATTTATGACATTCTGATACTAACACTTAAGAGAAACTATATATTGGCATTAAGTATGTTCAACCCTTCATTAAAATGGTATACATAATTTTATGTATTTTGTCACCTAAAAAAACACAGAAACCGGCACAAGAGTGACACCAATCATATTTTTAACCATCCCCATATATGCCTTTCAGTTTGGTGATAAGAAGTTACCGCAGAGATCAAGGAGAGTATCAAAACAGAACCCCACCCCAAGTATCAAGATGGAAGATAGGCATTGCAGATCCTATAATTTAGGCATTGCAGTTGCAGTGCATTAGGCTTTGTTAGTGGGGTAGCAGGTCCTCTAATTTAGGCATTGCAGTTGCAGGATTGTTAGGCTTGGCTTGTAAATAAGTCACGCACCAAAATAAAGGAATTATGAAGCATTTTTTTATCCAAACATACTTGTGGTTTGTTCTCACCCTGAGAGAATTTTATTATTATCTGCAATTGCTAAACAAGCTTTAATTGGGACCTCTTATCATTTTGCCCTCATGTTGTAATCTTCTTTGCTCTATAACTGTCTCTAATTGAGGAATCTATGAAACATTTTAGCACATATGGTTGTCATCTGGTCCACCGTTAGGTTTTCTTTAATTTCCTCACTGCTTAAATTTTTTTCTATTATGTATACAAATGTAACACATAGGCGAGTTTACAGCGAACAAATTATGTTTGTTTAGCTTCAGCTAAACTATTTTTTATCTTTGAATAATAGCATATTCGATCAAATGACACACAATTCGGATTGTTGTGATGGATATTAATCGACCGACCATTGGACGCTCGTTGTCTTGTGTGGTTGTAGAAGGCTCTTCATTCTGTTTCATTATCTCCATATTTTGTCTTTGCACCGTGTTTTCATAATACTTTTTTTGTAAAAAAAAAAAAAAACAATTAGAACAAAAAAAGGATGTAATAAGTTTTAAAGATTAAAAATAAATTTGATTTTAATAATATTGTTTATTTACCTTACCACAATCATTGCATTATACTATTTTTTTTTGTATTGTCGGTGAGGACGTTCTTGCGATATTCAGCATGCTAAGTCTCAGTTACAAGTGTCTACATGAAATTTTTTATGCTAGTTGTCTGACATCATATCAATTACTATAATGTGCTGTAATTTTAATTGTACATTTACCCAAGAGCAACTCCAAAGGGAGTTGTCAATTTGGGGTGCCAAATTATTCATTTGAAATCTTGAACAGTGTTTTAGCACCCTTGAATTATAAATCTGCTCTAATGACAGGTGCCAAAATCAGGTGTTATTTTCATATTTTTATTTATCAATTTATATGAATCGTTAGATCTATATTCATCTAACGGATCTATATTCATCAACTCATTTGCACCCTCTGCCTTTCTCTCTCCAAAGTTGTCAAAAATATCACCCCAAGAACCTTGATGCTATTTTTCAATCCATATGCCACCCCCTAAGAGCTCAATATTTTGAATTTGGGGTGGCATATGGGGTTTTCACCCCCATGTGCCACGCCTTTGGAGTTGCTCTTAGGCTGTTAAAAATGAAGCATCTATTCTTAACCGTACATTCACATGACAATTGAATTAAGAAAGTGACAACATACATTAAAAGAGTTAGATCGATGGTTACTTATTTAATAAAACAATAATTGTTATAATTAATAAATTCATACGTTATTTGATGTTTCGTTCTCAGATAGGATGGTGAATATGTCGTCAACGTTTATAAATATTCCATTGCTGATGCTTGA